TATACTGAAAAATTTCAGAGTGTATCAGAATTTTTATTGGTCGAATTTAGATTATTGCTAATTTATTATTTTATATAGAATATTTTTTGCATAGAGTAAATAAAATTTCAAAACATTCATAATCTATAGGTGACTACTTAAGTGAAATATGATTTAATAAGACTACGTCTGATATTAAAATGTATATATACATAATTCTAAAATTTATTGCATATAATAATTTAAAAACCATAAATACAGTAAAAGAATAGCATTCTAAAATCAACCAATCCAAGTTTTTTTGGCAAAACATCTCTGAAGATGAGTGTAAGTTTTATTTTCGTTTGCTTCTTTAACAAAGATGTCCAACAAATCAATATATTCTTCATAAGATATGCCCATATATTCTGGAAGAAAGACAAAACTTTGGAATAGCCTACGAAGATTATTCATTGACTATGAATTAAAAAAAAAAGAGAGAGAGAAAAATTAAATTAGATTAAAATACATAGTATACATAGTATACATAGTATAGGTGTAATAAGAACATAAAAAATTATTGAAATTATTATTTTACTTACGTATTTACCAAAACATCCAAACCATTCGCCTACTGGATATTCTATTTTAATGCATTGTATGTTTGTAAGCCCATTTGATTCAAATATTTTTGGCACCAATTCAGTAATTCGACAATTAATGTCTTTTTCTTTCATGCAAGCTATGCAAGCTATGCAAGCTAAAATTATAAATATAATTAATTAATTATTAATTTATTTATTTAATACTTTTGTGTTAATAGAATGTAAAAAAAATTGCACAAGTGCTTTACTAACCAGCCTCTTCTATCCATTTTGTAACCTTTCCACGATTTAGACATAGAGCAGTTGCTTCTAAAGATTCGATCCAACCATCATATTTTAAAACTCTAACAATATCTTTGGTCAATTCAAACCATTGTTGCTCGGTGAATGCAGAATACATCATGCTCAAATAAACAAAGTCAAAAGTCTCCATAGGAAATGGAATTCCATAAGTTACATTGGATGTAAGAAAACAGACGTTTGGAGGATATTTATCACTCGAAGGGAAAAATGAAGAATTTACATCAATTCCTATAAATGTTGATGATGGATATTCTAATGCCATATCAATTATCCAATTACCAGAACCACACCTTTTAATTTAAAAAATTTAATTTTCGTATATAAATTAACAAATATACATATATATATATGTTGTAAGTAGGAATGGAATTATAATATAGTTCGGAATCCACTTAGATTAGAACAGAATAATTTTACTAAAAATCCCAACCCTAACCTTAAAATTCCGAATCAACCTAAATTCTGTTCCTACCTACGACATAATTATTCTGTTCTAACCTAAGTGGATTCCGAATCCTAGTATGGTTTCATTCCTACTTACAACATATACATATATGATATATATGCGTGTGTATATAATGAAAAAAAATATATATTTACCCAATATCAAGCACTTTAGCACCATTTTTCAACTTTTCTGTAATTGGAGAGCGAAAGATACATTTCCAGAGATGTTTACTTAGCACATATGACAGAGTTTCTCTGTCAGTCTCTAATTTATCAGAAGGTAATATATAATTTAAATCTTCGATATCAAAGAAATCTCTTCCGTTTATTGTTTTAAACTTGCTCAAAAGAGGAGAAGTAACATCATCTATATCTTCTTCTATACTTCTATCATCATTAATGAATTCTAAAGAAAGTGTTCGGCGTTTTTCCTTTGATTTGCCAGACGCCGCAGAATGAACTTTAGAGTTATCAGACGTCATTACATTGATATTAATAATAATAAATTGATTCATTCAAATTTTTTATCATATTTATTTGAACTTTTTTTTTTTGATTTTTAATTACATACATATGTTTACTGTTTAGCCGGAATCTCAGGGGCTAAAGTACGAGGTAAACAAGTATTTTTCGAACACAACAAATATTTACAAAATATAAATCTAAAATACATTTATATTCTAACCTTTTTTTTTTAATTTTCCGATATAATTAGTC